CTCTCTCCACTTTTATAGCTTTTGATGATCAAAATTTTCGAATTTCTCTCAAAAAAAACTATCAATTTTTTGTGTAAAAATCTCATATAGCTAAAGGTTTTTTTGAAAAGCTTCAAGAAAAGCAAAAAAAGCAACAAGAAGAATCGGAGCCAACGACCTTTAGACTGTAGTACAAAAGCGCTAAGCATTGGCTAAGACTTATCTGTGGTGTACCTTGTGCTCCACTCGTGAACTCACCCCTTCTCGCGCATTCGGCTCTTCATTTTTCTTAAAGCAACACTCGTTTTTGTCAGGAAAATGTTTCAATGCGCCAGAAAGGGTGCATTTACAGCACAAAGTACACATGAAGACTAACTAGGGAACGGTGAGATTTCGCAGAATCCGAGCCAAAGCTATACATCCAGCTATACAGCTAAAGCTATACATCCAGCTATACATCCAGCTATACATCCAGCTATACATCCAGCTATACATCCAGCTATACATCCAGCTATACATCCAGCTATACATCCAGCTATACATCCAAAGCTATAGGACTTCAAGCAAGTCGGACACGGGCAACACGATGGCGTTTTTAGTTTTCGCCTAAACGCGTTAGATTTCTGTAAAAGCACGTTTGAAATTTGATCCCCTAGTGCACTGAGCGACTTATGTGTTTGTAAGGGCTACCTCATCAAAGAATTGACTCGCTGGTGCAATGGGATTGCCGCAGTGGCATCCAAGTTCCATTTTTCCATTTTTGACATCCAATTTCGATCCCCCTTAAATCAACTCTTTTTTTCTTTTGGCATTTTTATTTTAATATTTTCGAGTATCTTTAGCTTTGATTGCATTCTTCTTGTATTTCTATTTCCACAAAACCCTACCAAAAACTCAGGAAAACTCAGGAAAGTATGTGGAAAGTGCAAAAGATTGAACTCTTTTTTTTCGAAAACTTTTCCCTTTACTCTTCGCTCAATCACCCAATTGGAGGCTCATCTAAACCGGGTGCAAACGCTGTAGAACTGTAGATTCTGAACTGTAGCTCTTTTTCTGAGCTGTAGATCTCTTTCTGAGCTGTAGATCTCTTTCTGAGCTGTAGATCTTTTTCTGAACTTTCCATTTCCTGGATCCAAATTCTCGAATGATATCAGAAATGAAAAGATCAACGCGAAACACTTTTCGAAATCCTATCAAAAAATAGCTTGAAGAAATTTTGATATTTTATCATTTCCCCGGTTCACAACGATGAGCTCATCAAATTCGCCAAATTTCCCAAAAAAAAAATTTCATCAAAAGTTTTCATTTTATGTTCGGTGAACATAAAAATGATCGCAAGGAAATGACGAGATTACGGAAACTTATTGTAGCGTCACAACTGCATCTACACGAGGAGACAGATCGATAGAAAACGTGCCAAAGACTTGTTTCAACTTAATCTGATAGCAGGCAAAACTTAATCTACCTGTAACTCGTACCACAGTCGGCCTAGGGTTGAGCCAGACAGATCTAAATCTGATTTCAGATCTTGCTTGGCTAGGCTTTATTGTAAGTTTGACCCAAAAAGGGTCAGGTCCAGCCTCAGGTCCTCCCTTGACCCTGGCTTCTATCCTTTGAGCCTTTGAGCCTTGCTTTGCCTGGCCCTACGCCCTGGCTTTGAGCCTTTGATCCTGGCAGAGCTTGATCAAAAGCAAGGGTCAGGTCTAGGCCTGACTTCCAGGGATTTGTTGGAAGCCAGTGCAAGCCAGAAGCCAAGCCAGCTTTAGACCTGGCTGCCCAAAAGCTTTACGGCTGTAAATCTTCATTTCACCAGCTGGAGCTGAAACTCCACAAAAGCTAGCTATTGTAATTTATATCCCAGGAAAAGTGTGTGCACTGTTTTGTAGTTGTAAATACTAAAAAACTGAGTTCATTCGTCTCACCTCACGGACCAGAAATCCCCTCAGAGATTCGAAAATTGAAAGATTGAAAAATCTGTATCCATTTTTGGTTCTGTTTGCCAAATTTCCAAAAGAAAGAAAGGAGATTTTTGTGGTTTTATGATCAAGACTTTGATTAATCTTTACCATATGAACAATTCAGCCAAAAAAATCCCAAAAAAAATCCCAAAAAAGCCATAAACAGTTCAGAAATCTCTTGAAAAAACAAAAAAAACAAAAATTGAATGATTTGACGATTTGAGAGAGGGAGATTTCAAAGATTTATCCAGAATTCGACGAGTTCAACTCATACATTTTGACTAGAAATCGCGAATTTGAGAGATTTCGTGATTTCTAGTCGAAATTTATGAGTTGAACTCGTCGAATTCTGGATAAATCTTTGAAATCTCTCTCTTTCAATCAAAACAATCATTTCTTTGAGAAAAATGGGAGAACTCAGTGCATTGGAAAGGCTTTGTTTTCACAAAATAGCACAAAAAAAGTTCAATGAAACATTCCCAAAAAAAGATTTCGTTGAAATCGCCGCTCAATGAAACAATGATCGCTTGTGAAATTGGGGAATCGAATGACATTCTATTGAATCGAATGACATTCTATTGAATCGAATGACATTCTATTGAACTGAATCCCCAATCTTTTCGTTGTTTAGCTTCCGGTAATCGAATGGTTGTTGTCGAATGGTAATCAAAATGATTGTTGTCTTGAGAGAGGTCAAAGTTATCCAGATTTTACGATTTCCCCTACAAAAATCCAATTGAATCCCCAATCTTTTCGTTGTTTAGCTTCCGTAGATCAGTTTTTGTTGTCGAATGGTAATCGAAATGATTGTTGTCTTGAGAGAGAGAAAGAGATTTCAAAGATTTATCCAGAATTTTACGAGTTCCTCTACAAAAATCCAATTGAATCCCCAATCTTTGTTCTTGTTTAGCTTCCATAGATCAGTGAATCGGTGACATAGCCAGGGATTTAATGCGTTTTTGATTTGATGGGGATTTGATTTGATGCGTTTTTTTCTCGGCTATCATTGTAGTGTAGTCGGCAGCTCGTTCACATTGCTTTTATACGGAACTCGGGCGTTCGTCTCGTCTTCCACACAATGGAGTTGAACGGATAGCGACACATTAAATCTAGCACAATAGGCGTTCGTCCCCATAGGTGTCTAGCTGGCCATTTCCATACGTGGCAATCTCGATCACGAGATCGTCACGACAATCATTGCTTGAGCTGAGATCTGGACTCAAGAAAACGAAATGCAATAGCTGAGCAAAATTCTTAAAAGAATATCCTCAAAAAAAGAATATCCTTTGGAAAGAATATCCTTTTGGCCATTTTTTTTTACTTTAAACCCGGTTTAGCTTCAAAAATTGATGCCGTCTGTGTTTAGTAATCAAATATAGTGTTTATTTTGATAGTTCAAACCCGGTTTAGTTTGCTAAAAATGCTAAAAATGCTAAAAATTGGTGTTTAGTGATCAAATTTGATCAAAACACCACCTATTTTGCACACTCAACATCAAGAACATCAACAAATCTCTCGAGTTTTTTTGTTTAAATCTCAAATTTGATCAAAATAACACTATTTTTAACGATGAAATCTCGGGGTTAAATGAGAAAAAAATCGGATAAACAGACAGAAAAAAGATGAGATTTCAATGAATGATTGATTGGAAATGATCGAAAAGAATTTTATTGTTTTTTGTTTTGATCCACTTGAGATGCATAAAAATAGCAGACAACCTAGCCCCCTTTGTCAGAAAAAGACGCTAATTTCCATTTTTAACGATTTGCGCTTTATCCTCGTGTAAACGCACACCTCTTGGCGCATTGAAAATGAAAATTTTAGCGTTCAGTGCACCAGTTCAGTTCAGTTTTACAAATTTGAGCATAAAGTACACAACAAGTCTTGCCCTCAGGAGTTCACAGCGTAAACGCCTGCCACCTGATTCACTAGTGGAGAACTCGAGTGCAGCTTTCAGTGCACCAGAAAGCGTGCGCTTACGAATTTTAGCTCAGAGTACTCGAGGGGTACTTGGTGTGACAAGAGTCATCCATTTTTCTCCCAAAATTTATCTACTAACTTTGATTTTCGACTCCAGATAAAAGGAGATCCGAACTTTGCTTTTGAGTCATAAAAAAACTGAAAAATTGGAAAAATTACCACGGAAAATCGGTGTTTTGTCGTGGACACGAGAAAGGTGGAACGAGAGAGAGGAATGGCTGATCCCTCTGAGATCCTAGACAATCTCTACCACCAACACAACCCTTGACACCCCTACCCCATCTCTACATACCCCTATACCTTTAGTACTTATCACCAACCCTGTGCAACCCTACCGCAGCTCCAGTTCCGCATCTACCTCTGCTCTACCTCGATACCTGCCTTGCTCCTGTAAGGAGGTGGGGGGATTAGGTGCTTTCTGAAGATGGATTAGGATTCTGGATCTGGATTAGGTGCTGGAGAAGAAGTGGGAGAGGTGATTTCCCGGCTACAGTAGCCTTATTCTATGCTTCAGTTACCGCAATCCTACCGAATCCTATCGGGAAGCAGGTTCAGTGAGTCTATCCTGATCCAGTGCCAGCACTTACCCCATCCATTCCCCAAACTAAACCCCTCCCCTTTCCAGATCTCGAGCAAAAAAAGGTGAGAGAAATCTCGACGTAAATAAAAGAGAGAAAAAAGCGGAATTGAGAGAGATGATCGGAGTATTAATTGCTGAGTTTCCTCCAACATCTCAATCTTTCAATTTTTCATTTTGACGACCAAGTACGGTACACTTTCATTGACGATTTCCATCTTTTGGAAAAAAGAAACACTACCGTAATCGATTTCCGAGTAACCTATTCTATTTGGTTCTCCTGCTACTGCCACTCAACTGTCTCTTTCTTTGAGACTCAGCTACCGTAACCCTTGTATTCTATTCGGTGCTTCAGCTATCGTAATCCAGCTACCGTACTCTTAGACAACTCGTCTTGAGTGCTACAGTACCCAACGACTCACTTAGGCAACGATAACTTATCGTTAAGCCCATATTATCTATTGTAATATAATCATATAATCGTTGATTATCTACCTCTCTTGAAGATGACGCTTGCCGAGAATGAAATCCCGGGAAAACCGAAAACCCTCGACCTTTTCCTGGGTGTTTTATCGATGAACGGTTACAAGAGATTCGGATTCAAAATTGTGAGTGTTCATCAAAGAAAGTATATCTAAAAGTGACTGTAATCTGTACCAATACTCTCTACTCTTTGTAAAGTTATCCTTTTAAAGTCTCCGATAACCTATTTGATGCTCCAATTACTCCTAGAAAACTCGTCTTGTTTAACAACTATCTTCAATAACCTAAGCCTGTAGCTGGCCAGACTTGCAAAGTTATTCAGGCCAAAACCAAGCTATGCTAGAGTTGCCGTAATCCTTTTGTATTCTTCATGGTGTTGTTCAGCTACCGTAACCCTACTTATAAATAGCTATTTGGAGACTCAGTTACCGTATCCTGAAGGCTAGAGAACAAAGCTTTTTAGCAAGCTACTGCTATAGAACTGCGCCGGAAAAGATACGCTTTCAATTTCCCATAAAGTACACAGAAAAGTCTCCAGAATTTGACTGTATTTTTGCAGGAAATGCAAACTCAGGTCTTTTTTCAAAAGGCCTTTACCTTTCAAAAGCCAAATTTGTCCCTGAAAATCACAAAAAGCTCTCTGAACTTTCCCCCATTTTTCCGCAATCTATCACCGATCATTTCTTATCCTTTTTTCATTGTTGTTTCCTGGAAAAAAATTTGCAAAAACGGCACGTCTTCCTTATCAGAAAACAGACAATTTTAGTGGTTTTTTTAAATGGAAATTCTAGTGAACTTCCGGACATGAGGAATACTGTGAGGAGGGTAATTGAACCGGAAACTGATCCGAGTCATGGATAGCTTGAAGCTATAGCTTCATTTTCCATTAAACTAAAGCCAATCAGTCTCCAGCTTTGGCTCAGCTCTAGCCATAGGCCTTGACCATTTCCATTCCATAGCCTTAGCCCAGTGCCGCAAATAGATCTAATTCATCACCCCTCAAAGAATGCATTGTTTGGCTGAAGGATCATAAATCAGACTGAGCATATCGTAGATTTACACAGGCTTAAACCTAAACCAAGCCTGAACATTAAACAACACCTGGCTATCCCAACCCTGTGCAGCCCTACCCCAGCTCTCCCAACCCTATGCAGCCCTACCCCAGCTATCCCAACCCTGTGCAGCCCTACCCCAGCTCTCCCAACACAATTACTCCAGCCAAAAGTCCCAGTCAGACTATGGTCTATAAATTAACTTCGCTCTCGGAACGCTCTCGATTCCACGAGACTGGCCGCAATTTTCCACCGCAATTTTCAATTGACTCCAAGTATTAACCCTAGCTCTATTCTAGCTAGATTACAGACTCTAAACCTAAAACATCATGATAAAAACGAAATGGCTTACGGGTATCAATGTCACACAGGCCATTAAGGGGTAAAGAATGGTACTGGTTCCAGACTCCCGTCCGTTTCTTGGTTGAAACATGTGATGTAAATCTATGCCAGCACTAGCACCTGATACAAACTGAGAACAAAATCGAGTACTGGATCATAAAGTCATAAAAGAGTAATGAATAGTATTGGCTACACTGCCTTCCATCCGTCGACCGGAAGGCCTCATGACCCGAGCCTTACCCCATTGCCTTACCCCTTTCTGTGTCGTCACCACACACCCACCACTCACACTCTAGAGACTTATCAGGCCCGGGGAAAGGCTTCATGAAAGGCCCATAAAATTTGACGTAGAATCCATTGAAGGCTTATCTCTCAGAGAATTCAACTTCTGTTTTTTTTTCTATTTCCCTAGCCTTTCCTTTGTCTTGAGGTCAAAAAAAGAGCCTACCAGAGTGCAGATACGGTGTATAAAAGCTTGAATAAAGCGGGAAGATTACAGACCTTTTTTTGCATATGCTATCAAATTCTAACTTTACAAAGGTTTACCTTTATTAGTTTGATAATTTTATTTATTCCGGACTTTATTTCAATCATTTTAAAGCTTATAAAATTTATCTGGATAAGAGTACAGTGAATTCGGTAGAGTACAGTGAATTCTTTGCCTTTCAAAAATCAGAAATCCTTTCAAATCTAATCTATTGATCAGTTTACAAGATTTCCATAGAAATTAGCATAAATTATGAAGATTTAGCTTAGAAATTTGTATAAATAGAATAAACAATCAATTAAAAGAGCCATTCAATAATTGACCTCAACTAGAACCTATTATTCGATAGCTGATAGCTAATATCCAAATAACAGTAAGATCCATTCAATAATTTGTATACAAAATTAACACAAACAATCAATTATTCAGCCATTCAATAAGAGCCATTCAATTATAGCTATTCAATTATAAACAATCAATTATAACCATTCAATAATTGACCTCAACTAGAACCTATTATTCGATCGCTAATATCAAAATAACAAATAAAATTAATAAGCATAGCCTACAGCAAGCATCGATTCAATACTTATATTCAAATTTCTATAGATGCCATCATGGTCGATTCACTTGCTATCGCTGGCGTTGTGTCTTAGCAGCGGCTTCCAGCAGGGATACATCGCCGCTGTCCTCAATCAACCATACAAGCAAATCGAGCAGTACATCAAGGACTCGTATCAGGAAAGAACGGGCACACCGTTGGATGAGAATGTTAAGGTGAGGAGTGAGCAAATGAGCAAGTTTGAATGAGCAAGAATGAGCAAGTTTTATAGCAATGCCTAGCTTTTATGACTTGTTATTAGAGTTATTTCTAGATTTTCCAGAGTTATTTCTAGATTTTCCAGAGAAACAGTCACATTTCTGCTTAATTTCCTGTAAATTTGAAGCAAGCCAAGGTATTAGAGCAAAAGCAAGATCAAAGTTGAAATCTCTGACTTGACTATGACTTGAAATCCTTGACTTGACTTGACTTGACTTGACTAACCTTAGTTTTCATTTCTTTTTACTATTTACGATACAGTACACCTTACAACTAATTGTAGGTATAAAGAGGACAGCTCTTTATACCTACAATTAGTTGTAAAGGGTACTGTATTGTACGCAGTAACTAAATAGTAGTACAATAGTCGATAATCGAGATTTAAAGCTCAACTTTCTCCTTTAGAATATCATCTGGTCAGCGCTGAACATCTCATTTCCAATCGCGACAATCGTCGGCCAATTCGCCGCCTCAGTGCTATGCAAGAAATATGGTAACTTTTACAAGATATAAGGAAATATTTTTAGATCTATTGTCTATAAAATTTCAAATCTTCAGGTCGAAAACGAACGGCTCTTTTCTCATCATTTCTCTACATTCCGGGTGGATTGATATCAGTGGCGGCGAAATATTGTCACCCCTACTATGAGCTTTTGTTTGTCGGTCGATTTATATGGTAAGTTTAAAGGGAAATTAACATTGATTACTGTAGTCATACTGTAGTAATACTGTAGCAAAATCTCCCTTCTTTTAGGTCGCTCGCAAACGGAATCAACGGTGTTGTGGCGACGGTGTGGATCGTCGAGTGTGCGCCACCACAAATCCGTGGTCGCATGGCCGCTATGCAGGAGATGTTCATGAGTATCGGTTCGTTTGCATAAAAATTTCATTTTTCTTTACTTCATTTATCATATGGTTTTATTATTCTAGCTTGTAAATTGCTTCAAAAATAAACTAAATTCTAATTTGAGTGTGGTGCGTTTAAGTGATGAAATCCTGCTCTCGCAAACGCATATTACTTAGCACACTGGATTCCTCATTCTTTCTCCATTGAGGCGATCAAGGATACCAGAAAGTGCGCGTTTGCGAGAGTACAAAGCACGCATTCGGCTATGCCCAATGCTGAGTCTGTACCGACACTTGTACAGTTCTGGGTTACAGACCTGGGCCAGTACTGCATGTTTGACTTTGCACAACTCAATTTCTAGGCTCACTTGTCACCCAGGCGATCGGCGTGCCCGCCTCGACGGACACTCTATGGCCACTCGTGTTCGTGCCCGGCATGGTCATCGCCGCGATCTCATTGGTGATGTTCGCTTTCGTCTATGAGAGTCCCCAATACATTATCGAGCAAAGCGGTGATCGGGATAAGGTGAGTGCTGAAAACTATCTAGATATCATATCTAGACAAGATGCCTGGCCTAACCTATAAGCTAGGTCCAGACAAGCTCAGGTCCGGTACTGGTGGGTCCATCGTAGATCAGGCAAGGCCTGCAGCTAGACCTGGCCTAGGCCGAGTTCGGTCAGGCACCATTTCCAAGCCCACATGTTAATGTGCATTGATTCTTATATGCGAATTTCAGGCCCGAGCCGCCCTGGCCGCCTATCACGGCGTTGAGGTCGACGATCCATCATTGGAAGAAGAAATGAGGATTTGTGAAGCAGCCATTCAGAAGAAAACTCAGAAGAAGGTGAGTTTTGATCTTTCTATAGCTTTAGGATATACTGTAGAGATGCAATATATTCTATTCTAGAACCCACTGATCGAGCAATCGCACGACGGGCTGACGATCATGTTGAAGCCGTGGAAGGCGAACGATACGACGAGTCAAGTCATTCGACACGCCGCATGGGTCGGATTGATGGTCAAGGTGAGGGAGTGGCTGAATCTATAGAAAAATGAGTCTAGAGTACTGTAGGAATAGTACATAAAAGATATTACAGTACTCCAGTACAATACATAAATGAATTCCCGAATTTCTAGGTGGTCTACGTGTTCACGGGTGCTCGTTGTCTGCGCGGATACAGCACCTTCCTCTTGCACGATTTGAGTCACTGGAGCACTGATGGAGCTTTGTATGGATCGTTCTTCGTCGGTGAGTGCGCAAAGAATCAAGAGAACTATTTTTCAATCTTCACTTCTTCGCCTCTAATCCCCATTTTCTAGGTCTTGCCCGTGTGCCAGTGACCCTGATCCCTGTCTTTCTCGTGGATCGATTGGGTCGTCGCCCACTTCTCCTCAGCTCAACGCTCATCTGTGCGCTCTCTTTGCTCACGATGATGCTATCGATTTTTGCTGGCGAGGAGTTCAAGGTGGATAGCAATTCTATTTCAATAAAGAATTGTCACATTATTCGAAAGAATACAAGCCGGACCTGGACCGGGCTTTCCTTTGCATGACCCTAGCTGTGGCTGATCTGTCCCTAACTTGCCCCGACTGACCTAAGCAGTTGTTTGGCAGTTGTTCTACAGTTGTTTAGCACTAGTAGATAACCATAAAGATGACAGCACTCCAGTAGGAGATCAGAGTACTCCAGCTGAACTTTTACCTGAAAATGTTGCAGGTGGGAACACTGACCGGTCTGACAGCGCTTCTTCTCCTCTCGGCTTGCGGGATCGGTTCGATTTCGCGTTTCTACGCATCAGAGTTAGTTCCCCGTTCGCTTCTTCTCAACGCCACCTCTTATCTAACAATGTTTGAAGCGTTGACGAAAATTGGAGTCGAATTCGCTTTCTATCCGGTCGCTAATTTGGTCAGTTTTAAAAGTTAGCTGTTTTTTTTTTTATGGAAATTTGATTTAATGACCATTCAATAATTATCTATTTATTTAGAAAAGAGATTTTTATAGAGATAAATCTAAATAAATCTACTTTTAAATCTACTTTTAAATCTACTTTGATAAATCTACTTTTAAATAGATCAAATAAATCCGATACTTTGATAAATCTACTTTTAAATCCAAAATTTGGATAACACAAAAGTTTGTAAGATAAATGGAAATTGCTAGATAATAGATCGACTGTGTAAAAGCTAGATATGATTCTCGAAAATAATCAAAGAATATCTTTAGACTGGCGGCTGGTCGTTGATGCTTTTCTTGGTGCCGACCGCTCTTTTCCTCGTCCCGATGTGGGCAATGTGCCCGGAAACCTCGAGAAAACACGTAAACGAGGTCTTGAATGAAATCGCCGTGCGCAAAAACCTCAAAGTCTCGTTTAACTCATAGAATTCCCCCGAAAATTAGCAGTTTTCACAAAAATTTCTCAACTTTAGTGCATTTTCTTGATCACTCAAAGCTTTGAAGAGACGGGGAAAGTGTTTGGCATTTTGTTTTTAAAGGCAAAAGGCATTTTAAAGGCAAAAGGCATATTGTTTTTAAAGGCAAAAGGCATTTGGTTCTTACAAAATAATTTTTCAAAAGAAAAGGAAACGGATTTTTTCGGCTCGCGGACTCGAACTAGGGTCGCTCGAGTCCCTCGGTCCCTCGGTCGAGCGGCAGCCAAGCGCGCTAATTACTTGGCCACTCACTGGCCATTGGTGCAGTGGTAGCGAGCCTATCTCGGCACTGGTTCCTGATTCGAGTCCTTTCTAACTAAAAATGAAGATTTTTCTTTTGCTTTTAGAGAAAAAGAAGCCTTTTCCCCGTGTCGATTGTAAATATTTCCCGAAAATTTCCTTTTTAATTGACCAAAAAAATGACGGGTCATTCTCTAACCCAAAAATTGTTCGATTCTTGTTCTATTTTTGTTCTATTTTTGTGTTTATTTTGCTCAAAAGCTTTATCACAAAGGTGTCTATGGAACGTGTTTGTTTTTTTTTCTTCAAAAAATTTCCTATTTTTTTTGATAATTTTCTATTTTAATATCTGGCTTTTAAAATGTAAAATTAAAATTTTAATTTTAATTTTAATTTGTTAATTTTAATTTTAAATTTTAATTTCTTAATTTAAAAGTAAATTTCTATATTATTTTCAATATTTCTTTTATATTTCTTTAGATTTCTTTTATATTTCCTTGAAATTTCCTTGAAAATCTCGATTCAAAGAGTGTGGAGGGAGACGGGTTGCTCGCTTTTTCTTTTATTTACCCTATTTTTTTTTCTATTTTCTATTTTCTATTTTCTATTTTCTATTTTCTATTTTCAAAATTTCCCCATTATCTTGATTTTATTTGAATTCTGTTATTTCCTCTTTCTTCCCCCCTTTCCCATTTTCTTTATAATCAATGCTATTAAATAAATTTCTGAAATCTTTATGAGATTTTTGAGATCCAAAATACATAAACAATCAACAAGAATTGAAAGATTTATAAATGATTGATGACTGATGGATTTAAACATCATTCAGTGAAGCTTTGATACCTTTGCACAGTCAAAACACACTTTTTATATGGTTTCTTTATGAATTAAGTACAAACTGAGGACCCACTACTGTTTGTGTCTGTCTAAAGATCTGGGAGTGTCTGTCTAACGATGTCTAATGATGTCTAATGATGTCTAACGATTTCTAACGATACCGGGCACCAATACGAATGACCATAGGGTGTCTGTAGTGAGTTTATCTGTGTCTGTCTAACAAGCTTGAGCTCCAGGCCGGAGCATGCGAATTCCTCATTTTCCCCCGTGATATCAAGTTATCGCTTAGCCTCCAAAAACCTCGTAAACACGGGCCAGCTGGCGCATCACTGAGAATAGGTGAACATTTTCAGATTTAAACACAAAGTAAAGTTGAGATTTGATTTCAATAACTTCCGAAAATCTCACACATATTAAAGTGAGCTGGGAAATCTAATTTTCCCCAAAATCCCTCGATTTCTTTCTCTTTTTGTGGCTTGGTTGCCAGGGCGAATCACTTCAAAAAATAATTCTCACCTGAGTGCAAAAAAGAGAAAAGAGAAAAGAGATCATTTGGCCATTATTTCGTCGAGATAATGACTATTTTTGAAACGTGTTTTAGTGTCTTTTTATTGTGGTAAAGCTATAAGATATCTTTTTCTGAACTTGGCCTGACCCTTTCTGCTCTCAATTTGGCGAATGTTTAAATAAAGCAATGCTTTAAGCCGAAAATTTATGGAAAAATACAACCAAAAATTGATCCGAAGAATTTGGGGATAATCACGCGCAAAAAAAGGGAAAGTCGGTCCAGTCGCTCAACGCTCGTTTACTTTAAGGAACCTTCAAAAGGGAGGGGTATCTATCGCTGGCGTGTGCCAGTTGGAGAGCGATTGTGCCGGCGCACAGAGAACACGTCGCACATTTTCTTTTTTACTGCCTTTAACGGCCCAGCCGGCTCAGACGCTCAACGCCGTTCGTCTTTCAGGAAACAGCTATGTATCAGGGGCGTGTGCCAGATGGAGAGCGATTATGCGGCCGCACAAAGAACACCCCTTGCTCCAGAAATTTTCTTCTTTCTAGATTGCACAAAAAAAGATATTCAGCTGTGAATTTGTACCCGGGGGTTTTTTGGGATCGCGAATCGATTGGCGCTATTCATTTCATTGTGTCTACCAAACAAAACTCGAGTTTAATTGGTTAAACTTTAGCTAAAAATTCGGAAGCCTTTCTTGGAGAAGAGATTCGCCAATTTTCAAATGTTCTATTAGGTTGGTTTATAAGTTTATAGTGATTTCGTTCTCTTTACAATATCGAGCATTTCTAAGAATAGATTTTTAAATGGTGGTTTTCTATATGAAACCCCCATGAGCCCCTGCAATTTCTCCCCATTTAGCGCCCCACCCCGAACCCATAAATTACCCCGCTTTCTTTTCCTCAAAAGATTCAAAAATTTGAAATATATTTCAGCTAAAGATTCTAAAATATTGATTAGTTGAATTGCTAAAATTGCTAAAATTTAAAAAAAAGGAAATGCTTGACAGAGCTCATGTCACTGGACTCGAGGAGGTCATTAATTTGAGTAAGTTTTTCTCAAAAAAAATCGTTAATTACTTAATTTCTTTATGTAAAAAGTTGTGTTTTATAATTTGTGCTCATTTTTCTCAAAAAAACATCCCTTCTAGCGTAGTGAATTCTTTATTTTTCTTTCGACAACGCGAAAACGCACGAGAAAAAAGCTGAGAATCAAGTGCGCTAGAAGAAGGCTAAAAGAAAGGTAGAAAGGTGTTGAAAGGCGTTTTAACGGAAACCAGCCAGCACAAAGTACACGTTTTTTTTTTTTTTTGGAAAATCAATCCCAATGATTTACATTGTTTTTTTTCAGCCCTTATGGATCCGTGGTCAGAAAAGTGGAGTCAAAAGAACAAAGATGGATCACTCACACCGCTCACTGGGCAACAATTGCAGGTATGAGAAAAAGAATCAAGAGAATAGACACTATTTTGAAGCTAAATCTTTCAAAAAACCTTCAGAAAAATCACCGTACTTTGTACTTTTTAATACTTTTGTACAATTATTGCGAAAAAATTTGACGCAAATAATCACTTTCCACGACTTCGATTTAAAAAGATTTTGCCTTTTTATTGATTTTCGTCGGGAATTCCCTTTAAATGTAAAGATTTATAATTTTAAAAAGATAAAAGAAGATTACTCGTAGTTAATTGACAAAGAAAATGTCGCTTAATCGAGAAAACTCATGCAAAGTTAAGTAACTATAGAGTAACTATACTACTGGACAACGAAATATCATATTTGAAAAAAGATCATCACTTTCGCGCGTCTGTAACTCCCTTGTCTTTACCGTATTTCTAAATATTAATATTACCATTGTGTAGCCCTTGAAAAGAGCTTTCAGAAAATGTAGAACACTAATAGTTTAAGCTCGAAGACAAGGGAGTTACAGACGCATGAAAGTGACGATCTTTTTTCAAATATCATATTTCATTGTCCCGTACTGTACTTACTCGCAAGGAATTCACAAGGATAGACATGTGTACTACAAATGCTTCTAAATTGCCTCAAATCTGCTGGATCTATAGCTCAAAAAGAGAATTTCAAGAGCACTTTTGAATGAGCTAAAGCACACTCAAAAATATGAATGCTAAAGAAAGTTACAGTGGTTTGTAGCCTGAGTCTTTGCTTCGACTACGCGCGAGTACTTTCCGCTTGTGCTTTCCGTTTTGAGTCTGACAAATCACTGTCACTTTCTTTAGCATTCATATTTATCTATTATCTTTTTGAAGGCTCTTTGAAGGCTGAAGGATTCTTTATTTTTTGAGCTATAGATCATATGATTTGAACAGTTTTGAAGCAAATAGCAATTAGAAGCATTTTTGGAGAGAATATTTCTAATAGAAGTTGAGATATTTGATCTAGGATGACGGTGTTTGGATCATCACTTCTTCATTCACGATTTTCACAATGACCTCGGGTTTTGGGTTACTCGAAAGTGGACGAGTGTCATCGAAAGATGAAGTGAATATCATGGTGAAGAATGTGATCGACGTGATTTTTGGAGGTGAGGAAAAGTTCGCTTTACAATATTGGGGGTGTAAATCAGTACTAGAGCTTTCGTTTTGTAGGGTACATTTCACCTACAGTACACCAGTTATACTGTAGATTTATTGATGTAAGTTCGTGCAAAATACGTTAAGTTTATGTGAGTTCTATTTTTGACTAAACTGATCGATAGAAAGATTTTTTGATCTAAAAGGTTCCAATACGGTTCCTATTTTCATCTAAAAGGTTCCAATACGGTTCCTATTTTGACCTAAAAGGTTCCAATACGGTTCCTATTTTGCTAGGCATTCATCAAAAGGTCCAATACGGTCCTATTTGACTAAAGGTTCCAATACGGTTTCACTAAAAGGTTCCAATACGGTCCTATTTTAAAGGTTCCAATCGGTCCTATTTTCATCTAAAAGGTCCAATACGGTTCCTATTTCATCTAAAAGGTCCAATACGGCCTATTTTCATCTAAAGGTTCCAATACGGTTCCTATTTTGATATAAAAGGTTCCAATACGGTTCCAATACGGTAATACTCTATTAATATGTTATTTATTGTAGGTCTTTCCTATTGGATGTTCGGTTTTGGATTTACGTTTGGTGAGGAGTTCTTGAGCAATTCGTTTTGTGGTTTTGGGCAATTTTTCTTCAATCCCGATGACTCGAACGATGTTCAACAGGTGGATTTTATGCTATACTGTAGTTCTACTGTAGTTCTACTGTAGTTCCACTCTAGTTCTACTGTAGTTTTATTGATGTAAGTTCGTACAAAGTACGGTAAATTTCTGTGATTTCTATTTGTGACTAAACTGATCTATAGAAAGATTAATAATCTATTAATGTTTAAAAAAATCAATCTTTTCTAAGCACATCATTTCTAATGAAATCTTTATTTCATTAGCATCTTTAAGCATCTTTAAGCATTTAAATCATTTATAATACTTTTAAATCATTTATACTTTTAAATCATTTATAATACTACAGTAATAGTAATACAGTAATAGTAATACTACAGTTATAATACTACAGTAATAATAGTACCTTTATCGAAAAACTACTCAATTCTTCGTTTCCCATCATGGGATACGATGGAATTTGAGACCTTTTAAATTTGTTGGTACTGTAGCTTTCGAACTATAGATGCATTTAGCTTTGGGAAAACGCTTTCCCCTAGAAATGCTGTGTTTACAAACGAGCACAAAGTGCACAATCTCTTTATTTTTCTTTTGTTTAGGGTTGGTCTTATTCGTCATTCATCTTTCAAATGAGCTTCGCCACCACAACTTCGACCATTGTTTCAGGTAAACAAATTCAATCAATATAAACATAGTTATTTTTGGTTAAGTATTGAGAAAGTACTGTTTTTTAGTATTTAATTTACTGTAAAGCTTACAATTCGATTTTTAGCCGGTATGGCCGAGCGTATCCGTCTCAAGGCTTACATCGTAGTCGCTTTTCTTCTCACCGTCGTTCACGCCATTCCAGCACACTGGGTTTGGAGTGAACAAGGAGTGTTCTTCCGTCTTGGTGTCATCGATTCAGCTGGGTGCTCGGTGGTCAGCAATTGAAACTATTTTCTTGTTAGCAAAAGTTGAAAATAAACATCAAAACGAAGCTAAGACCTATCATAGGTCAAAGCCAAGATTTGCCTTTTAAAGCCTTTTAAAAAGCGAAGATTTAAATCTGTGCTTGTCTTTTGGCTTTTGATCATCAACGTTTTCCTCATCAGGTGCATCTCGTCGGTGGTGTGGCGGGCACGGTGGCCACTCTTTACCTAAAACCCCGACAAAATCGTTTCGGCGACAAAGGACAGCAACAGATGAGCAATCCGACAAATGCTGTGTTGGGTGAGTGAAAGGATAAACTAGGATACTTGTAAAGATAGTAAAGCTTGTCTATGCAATGGAATACACCAATTCCAGGCACGTTCATGCTGTGGTGGGGCTGGTTGGCGTTCAATACGGGTTCCACCTACGGAGTGAGTCGAGACAAATGGCGATTGGCGGCTAGGTGAGAGGGGAAACTCATCGAATAAACTGTAATTGTTAAATGAAAATAGCATGGTATCAAAAAAACGATTTCGATTCTTAAAATAGCAAAATGTGTGATCTCCATAACTCCCCATTCCCTTGTGTAGGAAACCGAGAAACGCCTCGTCGATCTTCCCATTTCGCACGGATAGGTGGTCAATTCACTATAAGAGTGAAATCAACTGTTTTGCCGCGCCTTTTCATTTTTCTCTTCGGTTCCCAAATGGCCCTTTTTATGACTCCTCTCCGAGCGTGGACCAGAAAGCGCGCGTTTATGGGCGCGCACAAAGAACTCGAGCGGGATGTGGGCTTTTTCAAGAAAATGAGCATTTTTTAGATCATTTTAAGTATAAATGCAATTTTTTTAAAAATAAAGTTGTAGATACGATTAGAAAGGTCACATTTTAGCAAAAATTTGCTCAAAAATATACTGTTTTTGAAGGAAAAACGATTTAAACCGAGTTGCTCATCTATGTTAACTTTAGAGTTTAAATTTAAAGCTAGTTTTAAAAATTTCAGATCAGCAATCGGCACAGTAATGGCCTCAGCAGGTGGTGGGATCACAGCAGTTATCCTATCGAAGATCATCTCCAAGAAAATTCAAGTCGATATGCTAATTGATGGATTACTGGCGGCACTTGTTTCGACTACAGGTAGGAATATAAGAAAAAGAAGCACTAACACTCACTCAATGCCTTCAATGCATAAGAATTTAGCTGGTTGCTTGTGCATTAATCCCTGGCAAGCTCTGGTCACCGGCTCGATCGGCGCTATGTTGGCAATCGCGAGCTATCAAATCGTCGAGAGGTTAGAGGTGAGATTCAATAGAGATTGTTAGATTTTATTGAATACCCTTTCAGATCGATGATCCAGTCGGGGTGATCCCGGTGCACGTCGTTGGCGCCACCTGGGGAATGATTAGTCCAGGGATTTTTGCAGAAAACGATCGCTTTACAGTAAGCAAAAAGGATAGAAACGATAATTGATTTGACTTTCAGAGTCAAGTCACTCACGGCCATAATGGTCTTCTTTATGGTGGTGGCTTCTATTTGTTGGGTGTTCAACTGCTTACAGTAATCACGGTGGCTGTGTGGAGTGCTTTGCTTGGCTTTTTGATCATTTGGGTAATTGTAAAGCTTAATATATAAACATATAAAAGTAAATTTGTTCAAGAATGTGAAGAATGTGAAGAATATCAATTCCAGGGTCTCAATCAAACCCCAATGGGGCTGCGTTTGTCAAAATACGAGGAACAGCTTGGAGCCGATTTACGTGAGCATGGACTAGCTGGACACAATGTGGCCAAGTATAAAGTCGAGAAGAAGTTGACGACAAAGTAAGACTTTACGAGAGTCTTGGATAGAGAGTTGATAGAGAGTTGATAGAGAGATTCAGTTTGGTTTTAGAAAAGATGGAAGTGATTAAAGATGAATTTTAGAGCGTTTACATCGGTGATGAAAGCGATTATGCGATGGAAAAGATTGACGAGAGAGGGAAGAGAAAGACGAGAAAGAGATCGACAATTCGAATTCGTCCAAGAACCCTACAATATTCAGGTACAATAAAGTCAGACTTTAAATCAATTTTTTGTCAGATTGATGAGACGCAAACATCGGTACATCGACGAAACAAATGAATTCGATTCTTTAGGGATTTACTTTTTGATTTCATTTGATATCAAAGATATTAAAGATATTAAAGATGTCAAAGATATCAAAAAGTGTTCAGATATCAAAAGATTGTGCTTATGATTTTATTTGATAAATGAATGCTTTGTTTTCAACTATGTTTAAGTCAACTTCAAGTCAACAGCTTAAGTCAACAGTTTAAGTCAACAGTTTAAGCCAACCGTTTAAGTCAACAGTTTAAGTCAACCTCCAGTCAACTTCAAGTCAACTTCAAGCCAACAGTTTAAGTCAACCTCCAGTCAACTTCCAGTCTACTTCAAGCCAACAGTTTAAGTCAACAGTTTAATTCAACTTCAAGTCAACAGTTCAACTGTTTTCAACTACGTTTAAGTCTCATTCCAGTATCTTGTTTAAGAAAACATCGACAAACCGTATTCCTGAAGTACATCAGCTTTTTAGAACCACTTCTAGCAAACAAGCAAACAAGTTTAAGCTAAAAAGAAAGATTACGGGATTAGATGAATTTTTTTTTTGTGCTTTTAGCAATAAACTGCCGCAATCCCAAAGGACGGTAGGGTCTCTTTTAAGGAAATCTTTCTTGAAAACAATCCAATCAGGGTACAGTAGCTTTTTCTCTTTTAGAAAACGATCTCAATTATTGAAAAATTTTCCAAAAAAAAAGCCCCGTGATCTTTTCCCGTTTAAAAACACCTATTCTTAGCCAAATTTTTGTCAATATCATCCAAAAATAGCCTATTTTCAGCGATTTTCAGCGATTTTCAGCTATTTTCAGTGATTTCCCGGCTATTTTTAGTTGCTTTTATCTGCTTTTAGCTGCTTTTAGCTATTTATCTGTAAGAGTACAAGATCCTGATCACTTTCAACTCCGAAAATATTTCCCTGATCACTTGTCTCTGTGCCTTGGAAAGTATATTTTTGGGGGGTATTCTCGGAAAAAATCCCCTCGAGAAATCGAATACTTTGCGGAACAAAGAAAAAAACCGCTCAGAGCTATTTTCTGAAAGAAAACGATCGGGTTTTTTTTAAACCAAAAATTCCTTGACTTTACGCTCGTGTTTGAGCTTTTCCTTTCAATCACGAGGAGTTTGTGGAAAACGATGGATTTCCGGTGAAATTCACATGTTTTTCACAAAGTCTTTAGGCTCGTATTAAACTTTAAGCTGATTTCAATAAGAATTCTCGAGGTTTCTAGGTTTCTAGGTTTCTAGGATTTCAAACTAGAAATGGCCTTAATGAGGCTTAACGATAAACGATAAACGATGACTTGTTTTTCATTTTATTGTTAAACTTAACGATAAACGATAAACAATCCCTTGTTTTTCATTATATCGTTAAACTTAACGATAAACCATGCCTTGTTTTTCATTTCATCGTTAAACTTAACGATAAACGATGCCTTGTTTCTCATTTCATCGTTAAACTTAACGATAAACGATGCCTCGGTTCTCATTTCATCGTTAAACTTAACGATAAACGATGCCTCGGTTCTCATTTCATCGTTAAACTTAACGATAAACGATGCCTCGGTTCTCATTTCATCGTTAAACTTAACGATAAACGATGCCTCGGTTCTCATTTCATCGTTAAACTTAACGATAAACGATGCCTCGGTTCTCATTTTATCATCAAACTTAACGATAAACAACTTTTTCCACTAGTTGAACAATTGCGAATTGATTTGTTTAATTGTTTAAAGACAAAGAAATCTAAACAAAAGTTCACATTTCACAAAGAAACATTTTCCGTATTTTTGGATAGATTGATCAGCTATCAAAAATACGAAAAATACTTCAAAAGGCCATCTCATTAGAAAGGCTTCATCAATTTAAGCACAATATCAAATAATATCAAAGTTTTATACAATTATGTTGTGTTAAGCCAAGGTTATGGTTGATGGTTGAGCCAATTAGATGGTTGAGTCTAGATTTAACCAATATTCAAAATTGCTCAAAAGTTTTATAGGAAGGGTCAACCGCTTCTCAATCAATCGTCGACGTCAATTGGTGGATCTCTTGTAAATAAAAACATTAACCATACAGCAATCCCAGAACCAAAAGCTTTGCAACTCTTGCGATTATCAATCGAGATCTTCGTGGACAGAAGATGGCGGAGGATCAATTGAGAGGATCATTTTGGGCGATACTAAAATCATTGTATCAATGTCAATTTTAATTACCCTGATATTCCAGGAAATTCAAGACGATTCCGCAAAAAAGATGAGAAGATAGAGCATGTTTCTGGCTAGACAGTTAGCTAAATCAATCTGATAATAGATAATGCCATTAAAGTCGAGAATTTTTACCAAAGCGCTGCTTGGAATTGGCTTTAATCTGGTTTGATAATTGACTAAAATAGCCAGTGTATTCTAGTTTAATTTGATGCTCTTGGATCAGGGTCAGACTTTAGTCAAAAATGAACTTTTAATGAACGTTTAATGAACTTTTAATGCAAAGCTAGCTTCTAGCTAACTTAGACAATTCTTGTGTACAGTGGCGATAATAGAGTACGATCTAACCAACTCAAAAAAAGCTTACTGTTTATTGCTAAGGCTTCCAACCAGATCCCAAAAGCCAGAATGACAGAGTAATGCCAGAAGTTAAGTCTAAATCTTCTGGCGGACCCTGAGAGCCAAGCTAACCAGGTCCAAAACCAAGTCTGACTCCCAAACTAGCTCTAGTCTGTTTTCGTCTAGAAAGATTATCTGTGAAAGATCCTGATTGTCAATTCTACTGAACAAGTCGAACCAGAACATCAAGTAACCAGAACATCAAGTAACCAGAACATCAAGTTCTTCTTCAGCCTTGAATTTTGTACACAGAATTTCGATGAACCCTCGATCCCAAAATTTCCAACGAGAAACACCGGAAACATTGGGCTCAAAAATGCGCTCGTTCTCTGCATTCCCCTCCGAATCAACTCTGTTCTGACGCAGATTTCCCCCGAAAATCTCGTCGTTTTGCCGGCTCAAATTTCACATTCCAATCCTCATTCCTGTTCTCCTTTCCCCCTTTTCTTTGTCAACTTGTTGTTTCCTGTTTGTTTGTCGCTTTTCTTCTTTTCTTTTTTTAAAGAGATAATAGTATTACTTTTCTTTTTCTTAAAACCTCAACGATCATGACTTTATATTTTTGAGTGGGTTGAGTGACGAAATTCTTTGGGAATCGGGAAGTCTGGCTAGTGGTCATTGGGGAAATCATATGATTGTTCAGTTCTTTCAAAAGGAATTTTTGTCTAAGCTAGACTAAAAGGATTTCTCATTGTGATATCGTTTAGCTACTAAATAGTTCAATTCTTTAGTCAAAGTTTATTTGCGAATAAGTTGTTAGTAGAGTAAAGATATGAGCCTCAATTTTATATGTAAATAAGGCTTGGATTTGCTTGATGCAGAGCTGGCTTGATGCAGAGCTGGCTTGATGCAGAGCTGGCTTGATGCAGAGCTGGCTTGATGCAGAGCTGGCTTGATGCAGCTTGACTGCCAGCTTGAAGCCAGCTTGACTTACAGATTTTAGAATCTATTTGGAACAATCCTTTTCCCCAAGATAATAGTAAAATAGTAAATTTGGAATAGTAAAGTCTATAAGTTTGGAAAGAAAGTTTTCGAAAAAAGGTTCGACTAAAATTTGTTCAAAAAGAAACCACGAATTCAAGGGACATTTTGTGCTATTATTTACAAGTGGACTCCAATAAAATTACTCTTAAAAAAATGAGTGAAGCTTTTCCCAAAAAACTTTAGAGATCCGGCTCACTATTTGCATGAGAAAAACGCTTTCTTCTGAGATAAAGCTATCATAAATGAGCAATACACTCTATAAACTCTATTTTTAGCCAAAACATTTTTTGACAAAGAAGCTGTATTTCAAAAAAAATCATTTTCTAATGTTCTTCATTTTTATTCTTGGCACTGAGTGGTTTGGCTAAAATAGGTGATTCTGAAAAGTTGAAAAAAAGCATTAAATCAAAATTTCCCTTAATCACAAAGCTTTCCCTAACCTTGATTTTTGTTTCATTCATTCTTATTCATTCAGTTCATTCAGTTCATTTCTCCCAAAAACATTGAAGAATTCAGTGCACCAAATCGTTTATTTAAAGGGAGAGCACAGGTTTATTTACAGGTTTATTTACAGGTTTATTTACAGGTTTATTTACAGTTTATTTACAGGTTTATTTACAGGTTTATTTACAGTTTATTTACAGTTTATTTACAGGTTTATTTACAGGTTTATTTACAGGTTTATTTACAGGTTTATTTACAGGTTTATTTACAATTTATTTACAGTTTATTTACAGTTTATTTACAGTTTATTTACAGGTTTATTTACAGTTTATTTACAGTTTATTTACAGGTTTATTTACAGTTTATTTACAGTTTATTTACAGGTTTATTTACAGGTTTATTTACAGGTTTATTTACAGGTTTATTTACAGGTTTATTTACAGTTTATTTACAGGTTTATTTACAGGTTTATTTACAGTTTATTTACAGGTTTATTTACAGTTTATTTACAGTTTATTTACAGGTTTATTTACAGGTTTATTTACAGGGAGAGCACAAAGTAGAGAATAAAAAAAAGTGTCTATGTCGTTTTTATAGTTTTTTTTTGTGATGCCTAATTCTTTTTTATTTCCCCAGCTTCAAAATTTTTTTGATTTAATTTTTTTTTTGCGTAATTAAATGATACAGGTGAAAATTGTGAGAGAAATTATTAAAACTATAAAATTATTATGATATCATTCGAATTTTATCAATTTCTTTTACATTCTTTTACATTCAGACAATTGCAATTAGCGGAAAAATGATGAGAATTCGATAAACTCTTGAATACAATTTGATTGCAAAAAGATACAACGATCAGAGATCAGATCGTGGTCAAGATTTTCGGGAATATTATTATGTACTTTGTGCTCGGATGATTGAAACTTTTAGTGAAACTTTTAGTGAAACTTTTAGTGAAACTTCTTGTGAAACTTTTTGTGAAACTTCTCG